CCTTCCTTTCGCACAATATCAACTTATTATTATTTTCAGATAAACGCATTAAAATTTTAGAATTCACTTTACATAGCGCCATGCAATCCGAAAATTAATCAACACTATTTCACACAACCCACAATGAAGCTTTTCCAAATTAACTCCCTTTTCCGATTAAAGAACTGTAATTCATCCATTAATGTCACGTTTCGCAGAATATAGCTAAATACGAAATTTCCAGATTTCCCCCCTTTTTCCGATTAAACAACTGTAATTCGTCCATTAATGTCACATGACATATCTCATGATCTCTCATTTCCCTCGCACAAAATAATGCGTAATCGGAACTGAGTGCTTCTCACATTATTACCAAAGTCCTAGGTAGTAACCTTTATCGCCTCCAAAATGTCGCCAAACTACCAGTTACCATATTTCAAAGATCAGCCGTTCCCTCTTTTTCATACTTCTACTAAATTTATATTAGGGGATAATATAATTAATATTTCTTTAGTAAATATGTATATATATATATATATATATAATTCATAATTTATAATAAGAAAACTTTCCATATACCATCTCCAAGGAACACAAATTCAATTTAAAACCATGAATGAACAATTTTTTTTAGTCATAATTTAAATTAATATTATAAATAGTAATTTCAACTTGTTTAAAAATTTTGCTAAGAAAAATCTCAAATCGAAAAACCAAAAGTAAATTCTAAATATTTAAAAAGTAGTTATTGTCATTGATTGCAGATTGACTTGGAAATAAGATGAAACACTTAAAAATGGTTAAGGGGATAAACCAATTTACTATCAACTAACAGCAACTAAATTAAGAGAGTGTTTCATCTTATTTCCAAGTAAGCATCAAATTATTTGCTAGATTCAAACCATAAGTCAAAATTAATACTCAATCCAAAAGACATTAGTCCATTTAAGCCAAGAATCTTGTTAAATAAAATAGCAAATAATCTTGAAATTGAAGTTTCTATTAATAACACAATCTGATCGAGATGCTTACTTTAGAAGACATATCCCCTACGTGCCTATATATAGGAGAAATTTTAGAGGTTGTAATTATGATGAAAATTGTTTTATATATACAACTTTGTTATATGGCAGTTCTGAATGCTCACAAGGAGAATCCATAACCATAATATTTACATTCAAATTTTTGCTATCTACTTAAATATCTATAGTTCTTACATATCATTATATAATTTAGATACTGTTAACAGCATATCTATAATATTAGAACATTAAACAAATACTGCTCAACTTTAAATTTAGAGGAGTAACTTTTATCTCTTTACCATTCTGGGCTGTTTCTGTACACTGCTTCTTTTGAATATCACATTATGTACAGTTAGTACTCTCTGCTGGTATATAATACTTTTTGAAATGAACTTAGCTGAAGATATTGTTCTTTACTTTTTAAATACACTTGTAACATTTTAAGTGGTCTGTTAGAAGTTTTCTGCTTATAAAAGTGGGGAATTTGTGTTTGGTTAGGGAGTTTTAAAGGAAAATCATATTTCGCACCCCATAATGGCTTGTGTAAAAGTATCCCATCTATAGTTACATAAACAATCTTGTGGAAGATCTTCATTGTTAGGATTGAAGTTTCGAGAATTGATGGCTTGACACGCTGTGTGTGTTAGGATTGAATGTCAAATTTTGACTGAAATTAAATTTTTCTTATTAATGTTCAGTTGTTTCTTACCAATTTCCTTATTTTCATGATTTATTAAACATAATTGTCATCATTAAGTAGTTCTTGGTCTTTTGTAGGCACACCAGTGGCCAAGCACTAAAATCATTGAAACGGTGGTAGTTCTAACCTGAGTTTGAATTGGGCCCTGCAAATGGGCTGGTTGCATACGCATTCTCCTGGTTTTCCTCATGTGTATACGAGCCAGTTCCCCTTAAAAAGTCCTCCACAAAGGTATCTCTTCCCTTAGGCAGATAGCCCTCATGTGCTTCGCCATAATAAACAAAACTCGAACTTGACCTCCTGTAAACAACACAGATTAATTCAATATACTGGGTCATGAGAGCATATTCTCTCATGAAGAAAGTCTTGTTCAGGGCCTTTTTAGAAGAACAGCTAGTGAAAATGTTTGATTGCATCCAAAATGTCCTAAAATATGCAAGTCATCAAAGAGAAGACTACAAAGATTTATACAACTCTCATTCTTCATCTAGGAGACTGGTCTCAAAACGACTTCAGTTTCAGGATTCCAGGAGCTCTGCATCAAGCAAAGTGGATGGCAAAGGCATTATCCTCTTCACTAAACATTTACAATGACTATTGAAAGGAATGAAACAGGTTGTTCATTTTGTCAGCCGCATATATGTTTGCTTTTGGGATAAGCCAGTGGTAAGTTGATGGGCTCTAAAGAATGATTTGCATATGCTACAGCTTCCAAGCACATGTAAAAAAAGTGCTCTCGCATATGCTTACAGACACATTTGGTATCTGCCAGAAACAAATGTAGGATTGAGTGTTTTGGATGAATGTGTTACTCAGGCTGATAGGGAAAAGATGACTAAAAACTTAGGAACCAAACCTGAAGGGAAATTAAATGATTAGAGGGTAAAACCTAGTTTTTGAAGGAAAAGACCAGAGCCATTCACATTACTGATAAAAAAAGGCGTTCTATGAATTTTTTGGGATCCACAACATGACAGAATACTGCAGTGACTCTCTATGAAGCTGTGTAAACACTCTTAAGATAGTCAGTGATAATGCAGAAAGAGAGGAATTGCTCTGATAAAAGAAGTTTAGTGAGTCGGTCAGGGACAAACAACAAAAGCAATTCTTGTTTATTGTAGCTGAAAATCACAGAAAAGTTTTTGCAAAAACTTTTGAAAACAAGTGAACAAAAGAAAGGATTGCATCATTCAGAGTTAATTATTGTTAACATGTTTTGCCTATCATAATACTTATTAATTTTAGTGTCTAGCTTTAATGTTCCTTCGGCTGGGGTGGAGCTAGATCGGAGATTGTCGACCGAGTCCCCAGGGGTTTGACCCCATTCATTTCTCGTGGCGGGGACTGACAGTGGACAGAGCACCCACAACAATGTAAGTTTTGCCGATGGAGTAGTGCCCAGGGGCAAGGTGACAGTTTTAACATAGCAATGTTTCAGTCTGCCCAATGCTTTGTAAAAGCCGGGCAGGGACTGCGGGAGTTGCGCCCGCGAGGATGAGGTCCCTCGGACCATAGATATCTAAACTCTGTATGGGTCTTCTAGAATATGGACCTGGGTCAGAGATCCATTGTCTGGTGTGTCTGTCTAGTTTTAATATTATTGTAAGTTTGCGATTTTTAGTTTTCCCAATAAAAGTAATTAAAATTAAAAAATCTTATTTTTTTCCTACTATTACAAAACTGATCAAAGTATGCAATTATCCAGTCTTCTTGAAATTTGTCATATATATTTTTTACATCACTCGGACTACAGGTGTAAAGCAAAGTGCAAAAATTTTACACCATACTTTTTGTCTTACAAAGTGAAACACCCTAATATATGTCTAGGACATAAGTTTTTATAAAAAATTAAGATTGCAGTGCCCAAAAGCTCTGTATTATCAGTTACTTGAACATTGGGACAAACTTCCCATATTGCTGAGACAGCTGCATCATTTTTTACTTCATTTTATTATGACAATTGATCAAAACAAATATTTAATTTTCCTCAAAAATATTACACGTTTTAAAATGCAGACTCAAACATTATTAGCTCAGTAGTTATTATACCTTCAAAATAATATATTATTTTTCTAAGACCAAGTCATTTTCTTAAAAGTACAATTTTAAATATTCTGATGACCAAAAATGGACTTTGTTTTCGGGGGTTAAAATATGATAAAAAAGCCACAGGTATCATAGCTTAAATTCTGCTGAAATCCAGCTTCCTGTACTTCTCAGTCCATGTATGAGTTAAACCGTAATTCCAACTGAAGCCGCTATAAATAAACTTCAGCAATTTCATTTTTTATTTTTGCATTATTATTTTTTATTTGCCTCTACTGGTGGCTTTCCACAGGATTTCAGCACTTCTAATTTTAGAAATTAAGCCCTGACAGGAGTGCAAATTATTACTTGAAGCACAAGGTAATATTTGCATGTAATTTCTGATTTCAGCTTATTGGGGGGGGGGGGGGGAGAATGTGAAAAAAATTTCCACATGACTGAAGAAAGTATGACATAATGAATATTTTGAGTAAAATCTGACTTAAAAGTTAACATTAATTTTGATGCTTCTCCTGTATAAAACACAATGAATTCATATCGATTATTTCAAACTGTAAGTACTTGATTGTGTGTTTGCTTCCAGCATCAGAAGTTCATTGACAGAGGATCATTTCAAATTCATCCTGTCTTATGTTGATGTGTTTGAATTATTCTATGACCTTAGTATTCCTCCCTCCCAAAACTTTTGTTTCTAAGAATTGCAGTTTACTTAGAAAATAATGATTCTAATTTAATGCAATTAATTTTTTTTTTTTCAAATTAAAATCGGTAGTGTTTGGAAACCAAAAACACGACAAATATTTTCTCATTAACCGTATAAATTACTAAATGAAAAGTATTTTAATTAGATTATAGTATAACATTTCATGGGTATACCCTCTAGCACTGAGGTTCAATATATTGCAGCTTTAACTGCAATGAAAGAAGTATTGTGGGTGTGTCAACTTTTACAAGATGATGAAAAATGTGAAGATAAATCTAACATTATAGAATATGTGAAATGTGAAAAACAGTTAACAGATATCTCCTAAACTATCAGAATTTTAAAAAAATATATTTCATGTATTGGTGAACGCTGATTATAAAATTCTGTAATTTTTTTGTTTAGTATTATGTTTAAGGTGAGCATATCTGTTCTGTCTTGGGAAATAATTGCTGTAAATTTTGTAATTCTGATAGAAACTACAAAAGGTGAAAATTTTTATGTGAAGTATTTGCAAATATTTATTTTCTTCATTTCTTTTTTCCAGGTTGGTTCTTCCATAATCTGAGGCATCTGTTATAATGGCATCACCTACTCCTTCTCTACCAGATTCCTCATTATTTGGATCTCCTCAGTTAGGGTCCTTTGGAGACCAAGCACAACCTGAAAACTTGGGCACTGAGTGCAGCCTTTGTCACGAAACATATACAGTTCCAAAAGTTCTACCTTGTTTACACACTTTCTGCCAACCTTGTCTTGAAAAGCTACAAGAAAACCACGATAAAATCCAGTGTCCCAAGTGTGAACAGGACTGTGCCCTTCCACCTCAAGGTATATCTGGACTTCTCTCTGATTACGCCATCAGCAACGTGCTTGAAACCTCCGCCTTAGAAGGTTCTCCTCTTTCTTGTACTGGTTGCAAGACAAAAGATACTCACGCTGTTGCTCGTTGTTTTGATTGTGCCAATTATTTGTGTGGAAATTGTGTCATGGCTCATCAGTATATGCATTGTTTTGAAGGGCATCATGTTGTCAATCTTAAAGAGCAGTCCAACAAAGATGACTTTAAAACAGATAAAGTATTGTGTTGCCCTCGACACAAGACGGAAACACTGAGATTCTTTTGTAGGACATGTAATACACCAATTTGTAAAGAATGCACGAATAATGATCATCCAAAAGGTCTCCATGATTATGACTACATATCTGAAGTTGGTCCAAGGCAAGTTGAAATACTTGGGGAGATGCTTGAACAGAGCAAAGCCAAAACTAATGATTTAAGAAATGCTGCCAAATCTGTAGAACACTTTTCATCACGTCTACAAATGCAGTATCATAAAGCACAAACAAAAATCGATGACACTTTTAATTTTTATTGTTCTGTATTGGAAGAACGTAAAGAAGAACTGAAGAAAGAGCTTGACGATCTGTATAATACTAAGATGGTTTCTTTAACTTTAATGGGCAATAAAGTCCAAGAAATGATAGAAAAGGGCTCAACAAACGCTCTGTTTGTTGATCGCATTAAGAAGAGATTCTACAGCAATTCAGAAATTTTAATGTTTAAACAGCTTCTTGACTCTAAATTACAGAGCATTATTTCATATAATCCTGAAGTCAATTTGCAGTCTATAGATCTTGAGTTCCTGTCCAATTACCAGGCCATCCAAGTTGGTGTTCGGAACACGTTTGGATATATTCGCCATAATTCTGAAGATGTTCCAACTACTAAGGCACAACCAATTGCAAGGCCAAATGGTGTGGTTAATTCTGATCGTACCTATCAAAATGCGCATGCCTATGAGTCAAACATCATATCTAAAAGATTTGGCTCTGCAAATAGCCTTGGAGCATTTTCTACAAGTTTGGGTGGTATGAAATGGTCCAGTGAAATGGTGCAGTCTGAAATGGTCCAGTCCCCATATGATGAACTGGTCCAGTGGAACAGCTGACTTATTTCATCTGACTAGTGAACCAGCTGTTGATTTTTCACCCAAATTCATTTCTCCCAGCATGTATCCCATAAGATCTCAAATTAAAAGGCAAAAAATGATTTATCATTGTAAGTTTGGAGACTTTGGTGTTATGGAAGGACAATTTACTGAGCCTAGTGGTGTAGCAGTTAATGCCCAAAATGATATCCTAGTAGCAGATACAAATAATCACAGAATACAAGTTTTTGATAAAGTAGGAAGATTTCATTTTCAATTTGGAGAATGTGGGAAAAGAGATGGACAGTTGTTATATCCCAATAGAGTTTCTATTGCGAAAACATCTGGAGACATTATTGTAACAGAGAGAAGCCCTACTCATCAAATTCAAATATATAATCAATATGGACAGTTTGTTAGAAAATTTGGGGATAATATTCTTCAGCATCCTCGAGGAGTGGCTGTTGACATTAATGGTCGAATTATTGTCATTGAGTGTAAGGTCATGAGAGTGATAATCTTTGACCAACTTGGTAATGTCTTGCAGAAATTTGGTTGCTCTAAACATATAGAGTTTCCAAATGGAGTTGTAGTGAATGATAAGGAAGAAATATTTATTAGTGATAACCGAACACACACTGTGTGAAGGTATTTAGCTATGATGGAGCATTTCTTCGTCAGATCGGAGGTGAGGGTCTTACTAACTATCCCATTGGTGTCTGTATTAATCAGAATGGTGAAATTTTAGTAGCTGACAATCACAACAACTTCAACATTACAATATTCACACAAGATGGACAGTTAGTAAATGCTTCTGAAAGTAAAGTTAAGCATGCCCAATGCTTTGATGTTGCTCTAATGGATGATGGCTCAGTTGTCCTTGCTAGCAAGGATTACCGCTTGTACATCTATCGTTATATGCAGATTCCAGGTCTAGGAATTTAAACTATGTGGAAATCATCTTTTATGAGTTGTTGTATTTGAAATGTTATACTCAATTATTGCCTTTTTGGAACTTTGGCAGCTGTTGCAAATGAAAAGAGAAAGTAAATATGTGAAAGAAGGTTATTGGAAGGAAAATATGTGGCAGGGTTGATGTTTGAAAAAGCATTTTCGGTATTTCGTGCAAGATAGAACTGTATCCATTTAGCTGCTTCAAATGCAATTGCTGGATGTATTAACAGTTTATAGAAAGTCTTGGAATTGGCTTGCATAGAAAAGAAAGTTGTTTTTTAAACCTGTATTTGTAAACTGTTGGTGTTATCTATATTCCCCACCCTGAATTATTACTGCAAATGTAGTTTGCAGAATAAAACGTGAAGATGGCCAACAGTTTTTATGTGCACACCTGAATCCACATAGCAGCTGTCACTTGTTAGCGAAGGGGCACATAATACTCCAAGTAATTTTTCTAGAAGTGTCCTCTTACTTGACAGGCATTGTTATGTTGGATTTGAGATTAAAATAGTTACTTTAAGATATACCATATTTTTTTGCAGTTGTCAAATGGTATTACTGGCCCTAGTCATAATAGTCAGCAGCTACTATTGAAGCTTCTTCCATTGCTTGTTCCCACAAATTTTTGTGCTATGTTGAAATATAACAATGTTTTAACTTATTTATTAATGGTAGAACATAACTTTTTAAGAAAACTGGTAAAGCCAAAGATGCATTGTAAAAAAAAAACTTTTTCCTGTGATCTCTTTGAAGATTGGGGCCACTTGTTGAAAACAGTTGTTGAACACTCTGCCAGCCTGAATTTTCTGCCTTAATAAAATGCTTGGACTACAGCATCTACCTTTGCCTTTGTGACCTGTCTCATGCACCAGGTCTGTTCTCTTCCAATACTGTGCAGGCATTTTTTTCTCCTGTACTGTCAATTTAGATGAGCACTTCCAGGTTTTATGAGTTATGTTTAACATGGGTGCCAATTTCCCTGTTAATTTTAGTGTTTATTAAATTTTGTGTTGACTTATTTATATTCACTCCTCGTTCTTATTACCTGCCGAACAGATTTTTAAGTACTCTAAGTGAAAAGTGTTGAAAACCGTTATATCAAGATCTGATAGTTGTATCTCGAGTCATGCAAACTTTTGCTTTGGCGAACTCAGTCTCTGTTGTATTCCAAATATTTGAGCATTTAACTTTTAACTAGTTAATTCTGAGCAATGAAAACAAGTTACCGTTGTGAATTTGATAGAATTAGTTTTGTTTATTGTTTAAAGTTTGTATGCTGAGGATCGCACTGATTAATTGATGGACCAAGTTAATGGATAAAACTGATCCTTTAAATAGCCAATGTATGAAGATATTGTAGTGCGGCATGGTTTGTATTTGTAATTTTAGTTGTAATGTGTCTTGCCTATACTATACAATCATATATTAAAGTCGATGTTTACTCGTATGTTACTCTTAACGTGAAAATAGAAATTTGTATTTTTACACTGGTCTTTATAATACTGTTTAAGCATTGGCCAGTATGCCAGCAAATGCACCTTTTCTTTTCACCAAAGATCACTTGTTTTAGCACCATTAGTAGCAATAAGTGAGTTAGGATGTTTGCAATAAGGTGTTTTAAATTGTGTAATTTTTGCACATTTTGTGTTGGTATTTATTAAAAGTGCTTAATATAATGGCAGCAGACTTAAATTTTTTTTTTACTTATGGTTGTGTATTTGGCAGTTGATTTATTGTTTGTTGTTTGTTTCCAGCTTTAAGATTTAATATAATCTATCAACACTTTACATGTTTTTAAAGATTCTACCTCGATGAGTTATGCAATAATTTGATTTTATGCAATCATTCCTTTTTTGTTATCACCTTTTTGGAGGTTCTTTTTTAATTGCTGGTTTTGCATGCTTGTTAGTAATGTTTCATCTTTGTCTTATATTGCTTTAATATAAATGATCTGAAATTACTTCGATACTTTTATATTCCCAGTAATTATAATTTTATTGCGATGTATTAAATTTAATTTGTTTTTTGATGTTCTAATTGCTTATTATTGTAATTTAGTGTTTTTAACACATGATTCATTGACTCGTTAAGAGTGGTCTTATTCCTATGCTTAATATTCTACTCACACGATATGTGTGAAGGTGTTCTTGTTTTCCAAAAGTGGAATTAGTATTTGCTGAGTAAGTAATGTAGTATTATAGTGCACATTGTGACAATCTGTTTTTAAATACTTGAAATTTCACTATTGTTTCATTATGTAGCCACTGTAGTGCTCAATTATGTGAAACAAATTAATACTGCTTTTTACACCATGTTTGGGCTATTTTCTGATGAGGGTAATTTATGCTAACGTTTAACAGTAACGTATGTTGTAACAATGAAAAATCGAAATTACTTAAGTATCCCACATTTTGGTGTTTTGAAATAGCATTTTTAAACTGTTGCTGTGCAGTGTTCATTTACTCAAGCATTAAAGTAATGTTTCTGCAATATCAGCCAGTTGCATGGATGTTCCATTTGTCACGGTTAAAATGACTGTCAGTGGTTTTGCGGGAAGCAATTTAGTTTTTAAAGTTTTAATTTGAGAATTTAATTTATTTTTTTGCACAAGGCTGACAAGGTAGTATCAAGAAAATATAAGAAATTAAATGCTGCTTGCACAATGTTAGAATTTATTTTCGTACACTGTCGGGACTATTTTTCCTACATATTTTCTGGCCTCAGTTTTGTATTCGCCTGAAGACTATGATGGCCGTTTTTTGACAGCCCTATCTGCAGGATCAATTTTCATCGTTCTTAAATTTGACAGATTTTTTGTGTTGAGTTAGTAGTTACGCTGTTTTGGTAATGTTCATTAAATATATGTGTTGGAATTTAAATGTTAAACATATTATACATTACATCATCAATCAATATATCTTATAAAAGTCGTAGTGTTTGTATTGTATGTGTAGACAAATTATATACCCTGGATGTTTAGTCATTTCAGTCACAATGTGTGGCCAGGTTTTCTCCACTATGCAATGTTTCTCTTAAAAATTTTTGTTTTGTTTTTAGCCTTCAGAAAGAACAAAATGTATTTTGCCTTGGCCGATTTTTGATAATCGTGTTGAATATACAGATCTGTTAATTCTCGTGTTGGCTACATTTTAAGCTGCAGCCTGTTTTCCGTGGAGAAACCTGTTTTCCATGAAACATGTAGTTAAATATCCTATGAATGTATTTGTACTGAACACTTAAAACAAAAGTAAAATGAAGCTTAATATTTTAAAATTGCATGTTATAAATCATTGTGCATGTGTTGTGATTGATTGGATACATCTTTATAGTGGTACAAGAGCTTATTACACATTTTTAGTGTACATTCCATTTTTTTTAACTTTGTGAAATACAGTATTACATGTGAATTCTGCCATCACAAGTAATTTGAGCAAATACATAAAATTTGTACTTGTTTTATTCCTCTGCAGTTAATGTAAATATAGGCTTCCATAGCCCATAATGTCGCATAAGGTGCTCATTATAATTTGCCCATCATCTGGTGCTTTAGAAGTGGCAGATTTAAAAATCTCTTTAAAACCCATTGGTAGAACTTGTAGGAAAGTATTTTTCATAAGCACTTCATATAGATTTGAAAATTTTGACAGCTTGGGTATCATATATGAAACTGAAATCAGTTTTTAAATCTTTTTACCTGGCTTTACCCTTCACACTCAACCCAAATATTTTTTTTATGAATTGTGGGATTGGATGCTGGCCTGAAACCAAAAGAAATGGCCTTGCTTTCTTATAACTAGTCAATAAAGTTATTAATTCTGTTAAATTCCTACTCAGGAGTGACTTGTTTTGTTGTTAAATCAACTGTTGATGTAATTTGTCTATTTATCTCGCATTCTTGCCACAAATCTTTGACGAAAAAATATTTGAGAAATGAATTTAAAAAAAAAAACTTGTGCACATACTGATCAACTCAAGTGCCGTGGTGAGTGTTCTAACTACCACATCCTTTTTCTGAGAAGTCATTTTTTATTCATTTGTTTGTTTTAACTTATAACATTTGAATTTTCATGAAGTATGTTTTATTGTCTTTCATATGTTTGTTACTGTACTACTACTGCATTAAATAAAGTATTTTTTGTTTTGCTGAAAAGTTCACAGTGTCTTTAGCACTGGCCCACTTTTTTCTACAGTTTTAGCTTACAGCACTATTAATAAAATGTGAAATGAATTTTCTTTTGTTTTTCTTTTACATGCAGTTTCATTCAGCTGTGACAGTAAGAAAATTTAAGATATGAAATTTATAGTTAAGCAAATTAGTTAAGTAATTAGTAAAGACTCAGTTTTATATAATGCAAAAATTTTCTTTAAATATCTTCTCACTACATAAAATCATTTACTTGAATTTTTTGCATATAAATTCAACATTGCCAAAACTAATTTATGAACTTCCTGAGGGTGTCTCTCCCAAAAAAAAGAACACTAATCTATAAAATTAATAAAGGACAAAATGGGTTTAATTTTAAAGTTTTTAACTTATATGGACTTAACAGTTACCACTTGTGAAAATGATAGCTCAAAATGAAAACATTACTTAATTTAGTTAATATCAACAGTTTTGTAATATAACATTGCTTATTAAATGCGAACAGTTTTCCACAGATTAGATTCAAATTTAACATGTTTTAGAAACTTTAAAATTGTAAAAACATCATTAAAAAATTAGGTACACTGGTAATCATGGAAAGGGCAGAGAAAAAACATTGCATGTTATATGAAGTATGATCTGAATTTTTATTTTTTCATTGCACAAAACTTGCTTCTGCCCCCTGGAGTTCGAAATGCTAATATTTGGCAACCTGTATTTCCAAAGCAGATGTTTATGTCAATATTTTGTCGTCCCATTCTATCTTAGTATGCTTAAAAACCAAGCTCATGAAACTTCTTAATGTTCCGCTTTACTTACCTAAAAGAACCGAGATGTTTTCTGGACAGAATCTGAAAGTATGCAGCAAAATGTTACCAAGTGAATACACTCGCAGTGTAGAAAAACGAACCGTTGCCATTCAGTTATTTTCTAGCGGTGAGCATTATGAGAAACCTTGTAATACTGTAGTAGTAAAGGTGTCTAAAGACTCGTTATTGCTGTAGTCTCGATAAACTCCATGTATTGAACGAATTTACTTATTAAAATAACCTTTTAACAATAAATGATTGTCAGATTTAACCAGAGCTTTAGATTCTGCATTTTTCTTTGAGACATTTACACTAGGGTTAGGGTAACTCCACTCCTTTGCTGAAAGAGGAAACAAAAAGCACTCTGAGATATGCATTTTATTGTATATGAATACAACCTCGGCCATAATATATAAAATTTAGAGAATGAAATATTTCTTCAACACATGTTCTTTTCTGTTGAAAAGCCGTCAAGTTAGCTCACGATTATTGGATACAGATTAGTGCTAGTATATACACTAACATGTGGCAAGGTCATTTATACCAAGTGTTTTTTAAAAAAAATCACTTCTCTGGAAGCAGTGAGGTCTTCCGCTGCCGAATAAATGAGTGCATTTGCCGCATATCTGTACAATATCGCGTTGCATATATCTTTTCACCTCGTGGAAAGAATGAGTAGTGCATAACACCAACAGAAGCCTACCTGTACAGTTAAAACAGCATCTTCATTGGATGCAAAGGGTTCAGACACACTGCATAAAATACGGGAGTTCCATTCACACCTGCGAGACTGGTCTAAGCTGTGGCCACAATACTATGAAAAATTCATCCAGCAATGTATTTAATGCTCAATTATTAAATACATTTTGCTGTGTTGCCAGCTGTTTCTGTACATCTATTTCTAATAATTTGCATGTATAAGCTGCACCCCTGAATTTCATATGCTTTTTCTGAGAAAGGGGGGTTTACACTCGAGAGACTTCAGTACATAACAGTAACGCTAACTTTCAGGAATTTTTGTGGATAATTCTGCAAACTGGTATGTTTACATGATATGAGTAATTCAAATTAAACTCTGCTCTGCTATGAGATGTCATTGATGTAAGTTTCATCAAAGTCTGTTGTCAGAAGTAATTACTTTTAATGATTTTTCATTTGCTGCCAGATTATGACAATTGTTCACTCACTGGCAGACATGCATATTAAAGCAACAAAAATAATTTAATTTCAACATATGCTGTCATTTCTATTTACGACCAATATCTCAAAAGTAATTTCACGTTGACAAATTTAGGGTACTCAAGTCTTCAAATACAACAAAATTATAAACATTCATACCTCATCCAGGAATTTCTACCAGAGAAATAGCATGAACTTAATGATCAAAATTCCATTCAAATGATAGTAATAAAGAGTGGATAATAATAACAAATACTATTCATTAAATTATAGTCCATGTTATGAATTATGTAAATTATTAAAAGTAAATTCCTTTCCTGGAGAATGTAATTAAAAAAACAACATCAACAGGAGACAAAACTGTGTTGACTTGTTTTAAGGATATTTCACTGCATTTTTTTCCTTAGAATTCATAAGACCCTTTTCTCAAAAGATTAATCTTTTATTACTTATACAAAGCTTACACCATTGAATTGACTATTGTAACTATTCTTAAATAAATGAAAATACTTTTTTAAAAAGCAATATTTTTACTGTAAAAAAAAACAGCAGATTCTTCATATTGATTTGATGTTTTAGTAAAATTAATTCATGAAGTTTGCAAAGAAAATCAACATTTGAAACAAATAGCAGTACATTTCCAGCTTTTTCAATAAATTTATAATACAAAAATAATTAAATAGGAAGAAAATGATGGTAATAATTTATACAAAAATAATCAACAGAAAGAAAGTAATAATAACTTACACAGAAAAAATAAAATTTTTGCAAGCATGCATTTTTTTAAAAATAATTTTCATAATAAAATGAAAACTAATGGATAGGATCAATCATCTACAGGATCATACGCACCTTGCATGATCCTGAACTTAACTTTCG